GGGCATACAGGGAGTCCTGGTACTGGGCCATTTAGTGGGGTTGGTGCTTGCCACACTTCTTACAGAAAGTGCAGTAGGTTTTAGGAATGTTCACCGTGTTTTCTGGAATGCTATTGGCATGGGAGGAAAGAGGCCATCTTTTATTTCTAGGGTAAAAATGTTTGCCATTAAACTCGCATGAAGTAGAAAATATTTATATGGATACAAAAGGCACCTGCGTGGGATAATGTCACGTTTCATAGATACTGCTTTGTGCTAAGTGTGACTTTGTGGTTATTATGATGTTTGTGTGTCTTTTTTCTGCAGAATGGTTATAAATAATATAAATGTTATGCAAAATAGAAACTCATTGTTTTCAAGTTGATTTAGCACCTGCATTATGTAAAGATACTCTTAAATCTGTAGGGGGACTGGGACTACGCAGGGAAGATGAGGTCAGCCATGTACTCTCTACTGCTTTGAATTGTACCTATACATTTGCCATTTGAATACTTGGCACGTGTAGGGCACTTAAAACATTTCTGCCGAATGGATGAATTAAGTGGTATCAAAAAGTGCCCTGGCCCTGAAAGGCATGATAGAGTTCTGTGGAGTAGGGGTCATGGTGACCCTGTTGGAGCAGATACTAAAGTGGTGGTGACTGTGGACGGGCAAGTCCCACTTTGGCCCTAGTCTACTTTAGCTGGGGAGTGAACAGAGGGAACTGAGGCTGGATTCTGATGCTCATCTTTGAAGGCTGGGCTCTGCTGGAGGACTGATTTCGAATGATGTTGAACGATTTTGACAAGATTAAATAGATTTAGTTGATGGTGGCATGCAGGACTAATTTGATGGAAGAGCAGCACAGTTGTGAAGGTGAAACCGAAAGGAAGATTTGTGGGGCTTTTAACAGTCTCAAGGTGTTGTGGCTGTGGGAGAAGAATTAACATGAATGGAGGGTGTAAAGAAGCCTATCAGATTGTGTTTGATCTGCACAGTACTGGGGAGTCCCATGTGGGAGCCGGGTAGGCAGCAGTCTACAAAGCTCAGAGCTTGAAAGACAGCTTGAAAGAACAACACAGTGAAAAGTTACGGTGTCTCTAGTTGAGATTTTCTAAACATCAGAACTGATGTGAGGTACCTAATTTCATAAAAAGTGGAATTTAATCTATACTAAGTGGAAACAACTCTGTTTGCAACTCTGACTTGCTGGTCCTCTGTTTTTGCTTTTGTTTTACGTTTGACATTTTTTATTTTTTATTTCTTGCCTGTTTTACGTAGAGACTAGATTCTGCACGGCCGTGACAACAGTTTCTCCCCTGCTGCCAGGGACCGGTGCCAGTTCGTGAGTGAGTCAAGGAGAGGTTGATAGCTTTCAAGGCAGAGGCTTGGTTTATTTTGATGCTGAGTTCTAGGAAGGTTGTCACTCTGCTTTTGGCTAATTCTGCGGGCGAGGGATGCCTGTGAGAACGACTCTAGAAGTTTTTTGGTTTCATGGTGAAGATTTGGAGAATTTCGTTGCCTCTGTCAAGAAGACTGCTCAGCCTGGCAACAGTACGTTGAAATTCTCTACTGAAAGAAGGAGAAAAAAGAAAGCCGGTGTAGCTGGCGACGACACCTGTGAGTCCCAGCTACTTTTGGGAGGCCGTGAGGCCAGGAGATCTCTTGAGCCTGGGATTAAGGCGCAGGTGAATATGATTGCCCACTGCCCCACTTCAGGCTGTGTGGTGACAGAGACGAGAAACCCTGCTTCTCAGAAAGAAAGAAAAAAAAGGGCTGGGCGTGGGTGCGTCACCTGCTGAATCCCGGTGATGGCAGGCGTTTTAAGGCGGGAGGGATTGCTTTCGGCCAGGAATTCAAGACCAGGCCTGGGCCAACATAGTGGGGACACTGTCTCTACTGAAACATTAAAAAAGAAAAGGAAGAAAAAAAAAAGAAAAAGTCAAGAAGACTCAAGGTGTGGGCGCTGTTCAAAGGTTTTGGGATTAAGATTGGGTTTTACGGGCCTCTGAGATCCTCTGGACCTGTTGCGGCTCAATGAAATAGAACGAGGCAGCTTCCTATTTGAAAATATTTCTAGTTACCTACAGGTAAAAACCAGGCCAAAATTACATGGCTTGAAATTTAAATGCGAAATAGATATACCAAGATACCATAGTTGTTATTTGTGAATTACTATGATCACTATATAAGATTATTTGGGAGCCGTGGACAGCAATGGTTTTATGCCCGTAATTCTCAGCATTGCATCTTGAGACTGGAGTCCGAGCAGCCTGAGGCACATAGCAACGACCCTGCCTGTTACAGAAGAATATTATGAAATGAGAGAATATTGATATATAGGTTTGTTTCATTTTACGTATGTCTTCATGAATTCGTAGTGTCTTTACACTTACGCACATTCTTCAAGTTTGAACTGCACATTTTCAATCTTTGTTAGCATCATTGAAGGCTGGTGGTGCTGTATTTGGATGCGTTTTCTGCCAGAGCAAGCACTTTTTTAAAATGGTCATTTTTTTTTTTTTTTTTTTTTTGTGACGTGTCTTGGTCTGTCGCCCAGGGCTTGGCAGGTGCAGTGGCTCGGGATCTCGGGCTCACTGCAAAGCTCGCCTTCCGGGTTCCGCGATTTCTCTGCCTAGCCTCCTGAGGTGCTGGGACTCAGACGCCCGCGCACCGCCTGCCCAGCCTAACTTTTTTTGTTATTTTTGTAGGAGACGAGGTTTCCCGGTGGTTCTCATCTCTCTGACCTGACCAGCACCCATTTGTGATCCGCCCCGCCTGCAGTCCTCCCAAAGCTGCTGGATACAGGGCCGTGGAGCCAGCGGCGCCTGCCTTTCGGTTCTTCATTTTTTTGTTGTTGTTTTGCAGACGGAGTTTTTTTGCTCTTGTTGGCCAGGCCCAGCGGCTGAGGTGCAGGTGTGGATCGGTCCGGCTCGGCGGGGCGCGCCGCTGCGTTGCGTGTGTTCGGAACGTTGGTTGGGGTGTCTCAGCTTCCTGAGTAGCTGGGATTACAGGTGCCCACCACCAGGCCCGGCTAATTTCTGTATTTTTAGCAGAGACATGTTGGCCAGGCTGCTTTCTATCTCCTGACCCTGTGATTCGCCTGCCTCGGCCTCCCAAAGTGCTGGGATTACAGGTGTGAGCCACTGCACCCGGCCGATTGTCTTCATTTTTAGGAAAGTTTTAGGTTCATGGCAAAGTTGAATGGAAAATACAAAGAATGCCCATGTTCCCCTGTTCCCACACACATATAGCCTCTACTGTCGACATCCTGTATCAGGGTGGTACGTTTGTTAGCGCTGATGGACCTACATTGACACATCATTATCACTCAAAGTCCGTAATTTACATTAGCATTCACTGTTAGTGTTGTACATGGATTTTGACAAATATATGGCGTGCATCCACCTTTACAGTACATATAGAATCATTTCACTGCCTTAATAATCCTCTTTGCTCTACCTATTCATTTCCTCCTCCCCTGAATCCCTGATCTTTTTGCTGTCCCTGTAATTTCGCCTTTCCCAGAATGGTATGAAGTTGGAACTCTGCACTATGTTACCTTTTCAGTTGGCTTCTTTCACTTAGCAATGTGCAATTTAGGTTCCTCTGTGTCTTTTCATGGCTCGGTGGCTCATTTTTTTTCAGTGCTGAGTAATATTTCATGTCTGAATGTACCAGTTTATTTCTAGAGCAATACTTTTTACAAACCAGCATTATACCCCATCGGTGGGACAAATTGGGGTGGGGAGGCTGTCTGAGAGTTGTGAGTGTGAGGGAAGTGGAAGGTCTTTGACTGACTTCACTGTGCATAAAAAGCTTCTGTGAGCATCAAGAAGAGGGGAGTGGTCTAGGGGAGAGCCCAGGATGAGAATCTTGCAAAAATACATCCTTCATCACAACTAAAGGCAAATCCTCTCCTCTTACATTTCCCCACTTTCTTCCCACACCAGGCTTGGGATCTGCTTAGTCCAAAATGTTCCTATAAGTTAGCAGATATCTATGTCAAATACTCTCGCCAAACCAGTTTTATGAAAATACTTAGACTAAGCAAACTGAAGAGAATAGAAAACTGAATTTGCATGTGTGCAGTTTCCTTGATCAAAGAATGTTAAGGAAAAAGAGACCAAAGCAGGAGTCGCTGCAATTTAAATGCCGTTCCTGTCTATTTCAGGACGCAGCTCTACTCTATTTTCTTTATTTTGGAGGTGATTATGTTGATGACCTGTCTTGTCTCTGTTGAGATAATTTACCACCAATTGAGCACTCCTTATTGGCAGGGATTGGACATATCAGTTCCGAGAACTGTATGATTGCAAAGCTGGAAAGCCGATTCATCAGGCTGTCGTTTTGCTGCCCCATTAAGTATATTAACTGGAAGAAGATGACTTCATTTCAGCCATTTCGAATCTTAAATACAACAGATTCAATTCTTTATGGAATGAGTTAAGGTCAGAAAATCTGTCCATCGTCTTTCTCATAAATACTTTAATATCTTCCAAGTATCATTGGACTAAGAAAGTAATTATGGGTAATAATAAAGGTTCCAATTAAGAATTAGGGCAACATGAAAATGCCACTAATTTCAATTCACGTTGTAGCTTTCAGGTCCTTCTCAATATATTTAATTACTTATGAGAAATACAGAAGTAGTGGCTGGTTTGGCAAGCCCATCACCTTTTATGAGAAGTAGAAGTCTCAGTTTTATCCTGTCTGAACAGGTTGCATTAGCCACAGGGAACATTTTGTTTTTGTATTCACAAATCAGTCTCCCCAGGTTCTGTTTACACAGAGGAAGAGAAAGACTGGCTAGTTTAGTAGTCCATCCCAACCCAAGGCAGACCATCTCTGAGCTTTAGTTTTTTTCAGTCATAAGATGAGAATTGCATCTATTTGCAAAAATTACTCTAATATCCTCAGATGAAATGGTCCAAGGAGTAGAAATTAGCATAATGAATCGCTGTGCTTCACAGTAAAGGAAAGCCTCTTCATAAAGACTTTTTGATGTACTTTTTTTCCAGCTTCCTTCAAAATGTCTACTGTTCATGAAATCCTGTGCAAGCTCAGCTTGGAGGGTGATGTAAGTATATCAGTTTCACTTTATGTAATTTTTGCAAGTTGGACATCTCTGGATAACTATGTTACTCTCTTTCCTTGTACATCTAAGGAAGATGGGGACGTTTCAGACAGTCATCATTTGGTTCTCCTCTTTCTCAATACTTCAGCTGTTCCTAGTAGTTCAATTTGAAGGAAATATCATGGCACTGGAAACTTTTCTTGGCCTCACATTAAAATTGGACAGAATTAGTGACACTGGAATGGCTGGAATTTTATTCTGCCATACTTAACATGTCATTGGTAATAATTGTTACGATGATACATGACTTTTAATGTTATGTCCTGGGATTGTATTACTGGTTGGCATAAGCCACAGCCATATCAAAAATAATTCTGCATCTTTTGGATTTCTTACAGTGTCCAGGAAGTTATTCCAGATGAGGGGTTATACTTTTATTTATTTATTCATTTATTTTTTGAACCGAGTCTCACCTCTGTTGCCAAGCTGGAGTGTAGTGGCACGATCTCGGCTCACTGCAACCTCTACCTCCGATTCAAGCGATTCTCCTGCGAGTAGCTGGGACTACAGGCCGCGCACTGCACACCCAGCCTAATTTTTGAGCATTGTTCAGTTTGAGACTGAGGTTTTCCGCCATGTTGGCCAGGATGGGTCTTGATCTCTTGGAGTTGTGATCCGCCTGCCTTGCCCCTTCTCAAAAGCTGCTCGGGAATTTACAGGCATTAGCGCCCCCTGGCGCCCGCGCCCGAGGACCGTATACTTTTAAAAATTTAAACCCCCTGGAAAAAGATTTTCTCCCAAAAAGCTAGGATATTTTCTTTCTTTTTTTTTGAGACGGAGTCTTGGCTCTTTTGCCCAGGCTGGAGTGCAGTGGCCGGATGTCAGCTCACTGCAGCTCCGCCTCCCTGGGTCAGGCCATTCTCCTGCCTCAGCCTCCCGAGTAGCTGGGACTACAGGCGCCCGCCGCCTCACCCGGCTAGTTTTTTGTATTTTTTAGTAGAGACGGGGTTCACCGTGTTAGCCAGGATGGTCTCGATCTCCTGACCTTGTGATCCGCCGTCCTCGGCCTCCCAAGTGCTGAGATTACAGGCTTGAGCCACCGTGGCCCGGCAAGGATATTTCTTTTAAAAACAAGAATATAATGAAATTGTTATAATTCATTTGTTTCGTTTTTTACTTTGGCTATTAGGGAGTTCAGAACTAAATTGAATTTTCTTTCATAGGAAATATGTGAACCTAGACATTCTGTTGGCATTTGTTTCTTTTTTTTTAGCAATTAAAAAAAATTTAAGCTATATGTGAAATAAAATTATTTAAATACTTTTAGAATCAAGTGGAATATAAATTGTGAATATGTAAAATAACTAATGATACATAACATCTTCCAGGTCATCTTGGCAGAAATGGCTTTTATACAAACTCAGCACTAATGCTGGTTTATAGCCATATCTGACAGATCTTTCAAAATATGCTTTGATGAAATTAAAATGCAATGTATCACTCAACAGAGGTTGACAGTGACTTGGGTCATGGACAAGACCATCTGTAGTTGTTCATGGTACTTGCCATCAAAATGTTCAAATTAGTGGAGCCTGTGAAAGCACAGGTTGTATGGAGTGTAAATAAAGCCTATAGAGTTTTTTAAAAAGTCTTTTTTCTTCTTGAAACTTGTGCATGCTCTTTTTGACAGTAATACAAACTGCATGTTGAGGTCTGACAAATTCAGGTGCTAAATAATTTGCTTCTCTAATGGACTTAGATTGTTTTTGCTATCAGGTTTTATAAGAGGGCTTTTCGTGTAGCCTCTGAAGTTACTCTCCTTTAGTATATTTCTATGTGTGGAGAGGTGGGGCAGAAATAGAAAATGTCACATGTTCCCCAGTATTTTAAGGAAAGAAAAGATAACTCAACTTTGCCTCACTAATTTGATTTCAGACAAGTGGATTTTATAGGTAATAGGTTCAATTCTCTATTTAATTTCATTTCCAGAGGCACTGTAAAATGACACAAACCTTTTCCCTACTCACTGTTTTTGGAACAAGACAACGTATCTCCTGGTGAATGCAGTCATATGTGATATGGCTCAATGGCTGGACTGCCTGCCTTGTAAATAACTGATGGCACTCTTAATAAATGGAAAAATGTTTTTCCTTAGGTTTCATCCACATTTTATAGCTACCACAGCAAACACACTGAGCATTTCAAAATAGCACTTTGCCTTTTTCCTGAATGTGTGCTCCGTGTCATCAAGTTCATCTTACTGGAAAGTTTACGTGGTGAAATTAGATGGAACATACTTTGATAATGCATTGCATGTCAGAGTTACAAATATTAACTGGATTTAATATTTGGCCAAGATAGTCTTCACAAGTGCATTTGGAAACATTTGTCAAATACTGAACTTAGATTTCTGGCCTGTCCTGGGAGACATCTAGGAGGAAGGCATCTTAGTTGCTCACCTGTACAGTCTGAATGCTAATAAAATGGAATGTCGTGGGTGCTGGGTGGTTTATAATGTGTTGCCTGTGGGTGGAGAAGTAACTCAGGGATCTTGGCCTTTTCACTCTTTATAGAAACTGCACCAAGGCCAAGTCATCACATTATATGGGCATTATGTGCGGGGGAGTTGGGGTGGGTTGTAGGATGGGAGTCTTGATGTTGAGGGTGGGCAGTGATGATGCCTCCACCAGCCATCAGCCAACCACAACTAGATTGTCCATCCTCTTTGTCTGCCCTTTGATTTGGGACTGGGTAGGAGGGAGAGGGAAAACTGTAAGAGCATTTCAAAGAAGGAGGGAAGTTAATACCTTGAAAGGAGAACTGATGTAGAAGCATGCCATTGTCCTTACCTCAATCTGGAATGGGAGAGATTCCCACCTGTCAGGTCAGGAAGGATAATGAGCTTCGAAAAGCACTGAGAGGCTGGGCATGGTGGCTCACACCTGTAACCCCAGCACTTTGGGAGGCCAAAATGGGAAGATTACTGGAGCCCAGGAGTTCAAGAGCAGCCTGGGCAACATGGAGAAATCCCATCTCTAAAAAAAATGAAAAAATTAGCCCGATGTGGTAGCGGGTGCCTGTAATCCCAGATACTCAGGAGGCTGATGTGGGAGGATCACCTGAGCCCAGGAGGTTGAGGCTGCAATGAGCGATGATCACACCACTGCACTCTAGCATGGGCAACAGAGTGAGATCCTACCTAAGAAAAGAAAAAAAAAAAAGAAAAGCATTGGGAAAGGAGGAGGGTGTGGTTTAAAAGGCAATAAGAAATCTTAGCAAGAGTGGAGGGTGGTAGGCAGAAGGAATGGTGTTAACGAAGGCAGAGGGAAGGATACAGAGGAGAGAGGGGAGGAAACACAAGGAGGATGTGGGCCGTCTGGTCAGACCACTTTGGTGCCACAGTGGTGACCAAAGAGGCAGAAGAAGCTGCTTCCATCATTGATCTGCATTGTAAGCTCAGCAACACCAGCCCACTAGAAATTCGTGTGCCTGTAGCAGGAACTTGACTAAACACTCTTGTCATTGAGGCATTTCCATATTTTCAGCTTATTTCAAATTGTTGCCAGCCCAGTATAATGGTCTTCAGAGCCTTCCTGAGTAAATAGTGGCTTCAGGTCTCCAGCTTTGCATTGTCTACTTTTGAGCTCTCATGAAAAGTAAGATGAAAAGTTGAAATTGAGACAGCATATTCTAAACTAGCTGAGCCTTTGAAGAATTCTTATTAGAAAAAATGAAATTACTTGCATGAAGTGTGATGGTGTGTTAATACCTACCTAGTTACTTAGTATGAGAATGATTTGAATTGTTAAAAGAAACAATAGGAAAACAGGAATTGTTATTTCAACAAGAGAATTTTAAATGTGTGTCATTTGAGTATGTTTATCTTTTAACCTCAGCACTCTACACCCCCAAGTGCATATGGGTCAGTCAAAGCCTACACCAACTTTGATGCTGAGCGGGATGCTTTGAACATTGAAACAGCCATCAAGACCAAAGGTAGGTGATACATTTGTCCTCCTCTTGTCAGGGTCTTACTGAGACATTTTTGGTTGTCTCTTTATTCTCCCTCAAATTGCCATACATTGGTAATTTGAAATTGTCATTGAGCTTTAATGGAGTGGATCCAGACCTGGCTCAACCCATGCCTCCTTTCCTTCCTTCCCTCCTTCCTTTCTTTCTTTCTTTTTCCTTCTCTCCTTCCCTCCTTTCTCCCTTTCTTCCTTCTCTCCTTCTTTCTCTTTCTCCCTCCTTCCTGCCCTTCCTCCCTCCCTCCCTCTCTTCTCTCCCCTTCTTTCTTTCCTCCCTCCCTTCCTTTCTTTCCTCCCCTACCCCCCACTTTCTTCTCTTTGGCGAGATCTACAACATGAGATAGTATTTAAACCAAGTAGTGGTTAAAGGAAATCAGTCTGGGAGCCAGATCTGGTCCTAGGGGTATGCGTTTGGGTACAGCTGTTCACTTTGAGGCTTCAGTCCCTCTTCTGCAAGGAAAAAGTTGGTCGTGGTGGTCCCTAAGGGCACTTCTTGTTCCAAGTTCCCTTGAATTTAATTACATTTGCTGGAAAAATGCTGGGAAAATCTTACTGCATTGCTCTTAGATTGATCTAGAGAGTGAAAAATTCAGACTTTTTTTTAAACCCCTGTAAGTTCTGCTGCTCCTTAGGCCTGGAGCTGGAATTAGAAGAGCTGTAAGAATGAGTATATTTCCTCAAGTTCTAGGATGAGTAAGAGAAGACCAGGAGGCATAAAAACCCTCCTCTTGAAATAAAACAAAGTGCCAATGGGTTAGGGTTGAGGAAGAGCTTCTTATGGTCATTATATTGTTTTCTGGGTCTACAAAATAGGATGTTCAGACTTTCTGGGCTTATATTAATGAAGCAATCCTTGGGGTTGCCCCATCCCCTGAAAAATATTGCAGTTCTTGTGGTGACTTTTGTGATTCTCCACTTTTCCCCCCTTGGATAAAGCACTTCCTTTCACCATGCGGCCAGATTGGGATACAGACATGACCCAGCACAATTAGAGCTGCTGCTGGTTCATACCCCGGGTAAAGAGCCATGTCACATTTTTCTCTTCTATGTACAGCGTTTAGCTTACTGACACACTTAGACAGTTCACAAACGGTTCATTGAAAGACTGAGAAACCTCAACCAGGATGACCTGGGAACCTGTAACTAGGATGATGTCCTGGTTTATGCCGGCGTATTTACTAATAGTGCACCTTGCACTCTCAGAACTGTCTTATTTTGGAGGATACATTGTATGGTCACCTTTCCTAAAACCGTGTAGAATCTGGTGACCTTGTTTCCAGAGACAGGAAGGAGAGTAGAAAAATCCGTTTAACTTTCTATGGTTCTAACAAGATGTGAGGATTTATTTGCATCATCTGCCTCAGGGAAGCCTTATGTTCTGTGTGGTTGCTGTGGACCACCCCCCAGATGACTGTCTGCACAGCTGAGGGCAGAATAATGAAGCATCCAAATTAGACTTTTAACAAAAAAAAAAAACCTCCTTTTTTTTTTTTTTTTTTTTGAGATGGAGTTTCGTTCTTGTTGCCTAGGCTGGAGTGCAATGGCGTGATCTCGGCTCACCGCAACCTCTGCCTCTTGGATTCAAGCAATTCTCCTGCTTCAGCCTCCCTAGTAGCGGGGATTACAGGCACACACCACCATGCCCAGCTAATTTTGTGTTTTTAGTAGAGACAGGGTTTCTCCATGTTGGTCAGCCAGGTCTCAAACTCCTGACCTCAGGTGATCCGCCTGCCTCCGCCGCCCAACGTGTTGGGATTATAGGTGGAGCCATCTCGCCCAGCCCAATCTTTTTTTTTTTTTTTTTGGTGCTTTTAAATGACCATTCTTGCCAAAAGTTACTAATCAGAAAATTAAACTACAATCTGCAGGGCTTGTTTCACTACAGTCAGTTCCAGTCAGTGGAGCATAGTGGATGAGAACGTGTGTGAGCCCAGGTTCAAATGCTGGCTCCACAGCTCACTCATTAGCCATCTGACTCGGAAAGCACGGAACTGATAAGACTGAGTTTCCTTGCCTATAAAGGGGCGCTAATCAAAGTTCCCACCTCACGGGGTTGTTGTGAAGTATGAAGCATTTAGCATGATGCCTGGCATATAGATGGTACTCAAAATATGTTACCTTAAAACACACACACACGTGCACACACATGCACATCCACCTCCTTGTGGTCTGCTTTCCTAAAACCCATGCTACTTCACTATTTAGATGTGCCTAGATTCATGTGGTTTCCCAACATGCCATTGCAGCAACCCTAAGTTTAGCAGTTAACTCATCTAGCAAAGATGGTGCTTTTCCCAAGCATGGGACAAAGACTTCTTTTGTCCCTGCGTGAGAAAGCACTTAGTGCACTGGAAGGTAAAGATTGCGCAAATGAACTCTGGTCACAGCTGAAACTCTCATGGTAATAAAAATAGCTTCAGGCCCTTTTGGAGTTAGTAGAAAAATACTCTAGTTTTTAGACAGAAACGTCTGGAGGGCTAAGGCTTAGATTCCAACATTCCAGTTTGATCAAAAGCAGCTGACATTATCATTATCATCATTGCAACTATTTATGAAATGTTCATTGTGGGCAGATATTGCACCAAGCACTTCAGGAACATTTATCTTAGGTGAACTTCGAAGTAACCTCTGATGTAGTATTCTGTCATCCCCAGTTTTTGGGTGATTTAAGTCAGAATTAGTATGTCTGAGGTCTTTTGGCCTTGGATCAAACTGGGATTTGAACACAGCTCTGTCCACCCCTAGGCCTGTGTTCTTAGGCACCATGGTGTAGCACCCACCTGTGAGGAGTGGATTTTTTTCATTGCCTTGAATTATTTTCAGATATGAAAAACATTGTGCATCTGTGGTCTTTTTTTTTTTTTTTTTGTTGGGTTCTCATTCATTGCCATTGCAGCAACACTAGGTTTAGCAGTTACACTCATCCCTAGCAAAGATGGTGCTTTTCCAAGCATGGGACAAAGACTTCTTTTTGTCCCTGCGTGAGAAACACTTAGTGACTGGAAGGTAAAGATGCGCAAATGAACTCTGGTCACAGCTGAAACTCTCATGGTAATAAAATAGCTTCAGGCCCTTTTGGAGTTAGTAGAAAAAATATCTAGTTTTTAGACAGAAACGTCTGGGAGGGCTAAGGCTTAGATTCCAACATTCCAGTTTGATCAAAAGCAGCTGACATTATCATTATCATCATTGCAACTATTATGAAATGTTCATTGTGGCAGATATTGCCACCAAGCACTTCAGGAACATTTATCTTAGGTGAAACTTCAAAGTAACCTCTGATGTAGTATTCTGTCATCCCCAGTTTTTGGGTGATTTAAGTCAGAATTAGTATGCCTGAGGTCTTTTGGCCTGGATCAAACTGGGATTTGAACACAGCTCTGTCCACCCTAGGCCTGTGTTCTTAGGCACCATGGTGTAGCACCCACCCTGTGAGGAGTGGATTTTTTTCATTGCCTTGAATTATTTTCAGATATGAAAAACATTGTGCATCTGTGGTCTTTTTTTTTTTTTTTTTTTTTTTTTTTTGAGACGGAGTCTTGCTCTGTTGCCCGGGCTGGAGTGCAGTGCCCGAATCTCAGCTCACTGCAAGCTCCGCCTCCCAGGTTTACGCCATTCTCCTGCCTCAGCCTCCTCAGTAGCTGGGACTACAGGCGCCTGCCACCTCGCCCGCTAGTTTTTTGTATTTTTTTAGTAGAGAAGGGGTTTCACCGTGTTAGCCAGGATGGCCTCGATCTCCTGACCTTGTGATCCGCCTGTCTTGGCCTCCCAATAGTGCTGGGATTACAGGCTTGAGCCACCCGCGCCCGGCCGCTCTGTGTCTTACTGACTTTCTATTAAGTCTCATGATTTGTGGCTAGCTTTTAGATTCCCATCTCCTTTTTTTTTTTTCCCTCCCAGACTTAATGTCCAAGTGAGTTTCACTTAGAGCCACTTTTATTTATTTATTCTTTGAGTAGTATCATGACTGCTTGAACCTTGAGTTTTGAGGTCAAGGAGGGATATCTAGCAGGCTTCAAGACGCCCAAGATCAACCCTCGCACTCCAGCCCAGGTGACTGGGGTGAGACTCTTGTCTCAAAAAAAATAAATGAATAAAATAAAATAAATAAAAAGTGGTCTAAGTTGAAACTCACTGGACATTTAAGTGCTGGGGAGGGAAAAAAAAAAAAAAGAGATGGATGGATAACATCTAAAGCTAGACCACAAATATGAGGACTTAATAGAAAGTGCAGTTAAGACCACAGATGCGGCGGCCGCGGTGGCCAAGCCTGTAATTCCCAGCACTTTGGGAGGCCAAGCAGGGGATCACAGTCAGAGATCTGAGACCATCCTGCTAACACGGTGAAAACGGTGAAACCCCTTTCCTCTCTAAAAAACATACAAAAAACTAGCCGGCGCGAGGTGGCAGGCGCCTGTAGTCCCAGCTACTGAGGAGGGCTGAGGCCAGGAGAATGCGTAAACCTGGGAGGCCGGGGAGCTTGCAGTGAGCTGAGATTCGGCGCACTGCACTCCAGCCCGAGGCAAACAGAAGCAAAGACCCGTCTCAAAAAAACAAAAAAAC